CCAACTCCTCCCTCTGTACCCCGAACAACCACCTCGTCTGTGGCCAGAGGGAGAAGGTAGTGAGGTCCAGATGTCTGACACGACCGGTCTTCGTATGTGTCTCCTAGGTGCGAAAACGGGGCATGTCACGGTGCGTGCGCGAGAGGCAAAGCCGCTCTATCTACCTCCGGGTCAGCATCATGGATCAACTATGGCTCCTATCCGCTTTGATCTAGGCCTCGAAAGCCTTCATCCAGAGCTCACTTTTCCAGACAATTGTCAGGTCAAGGTCACTTTGGAGGCTGCGACGTATTTTACTTTGTTGCCGATGGACGAACTGCCGAGCTGGCAGAGTGCAGCTAAGGGACAAGGTCAGTGTTTCCGGGCGAGTGTGTGCTCGTGGAAGAATAAGTCGGTTGGTCTGCAGTGGATGGAGAAAGCGGGCAATATGCACACTGCTAGTCTTGTTGTGCCAATACCAGTATCTGGCGATGTGGCTCTTGTCCCGACGTTCCACCATTGTTATGTAGCCAGGGAATATTTTGCGCGCGTTGAAGTGACGGTGGGTTGTTCGAGGACGTTGCGAGTGAAGGTGCCCGTTCAAATCTATAACTCACTCGAGCGTTAAATGAACTTCATTATAATCTAATCCCACAAAAGTCTATGCTTATGATACTCTATTCCCACATATCCCCAGGTCTTAATCCATAAGCCCTACCAAATCACGCTCGCAACCCACTCCTCCCCCTAACCCCATCCCCATGCTGTAATAATAACAAACGGAATAACCCCGCATGGACCCCCTCAAAAACCTCAAATGACTACACCCCCACGCAATCGCCCACTTTGAGGTGTAAGTAGGCTGAGAGTCAAGAGGAAGCCAAAGTAGCCTCCCCGTGTCTGTGTCGATTACCCAGTTGTTTTGATCTCAACCTGTGGCTCAGGAACACCACATGCCTGTCTCGATTCCGACGTTGATGTTGAAGATTTCCGTACGGCCTTCCTTCCAAGTGACATGCAGGCAATTCTCATCAATACCGAATTTACATATCCGGTCTATTGACCTCAGCTCCTAAAGTCTGTAGTAGACCGCCACTTTCTACACTCCAGAGCTTGATGGTATCCCTTCATGCTGTTGCGAGTACTTGACTGTGATGAAAATGCTGCTATATAATTTGCATGGTCAGGATCTCTGCCGGTTCTAGCATGGGTTTTGCTTTGCTGTTGTTGCATTCCACGAATCTGAACCTCCAAATCACCACCATGAGGCAGCCCATTGGTTGTAAGGAGGCAATAACACACAGCATGGATGGATCATCCGGTGATAGGGAGCTTTGGTGCAGAACCTCCAGAGCTCATATCCCATAGCCTCACATCGCTGCCCGGTTGTCAGAACCTGATTATTGGCAAAACAGCCATAACCGGGTGTAGTTAGCGTGGAAGGACCTTCGAACTTTCCAGGGCCCAGACCCCATAGAGATATGGCTGCGCTAGGGAAGTGGGATACACGAGCTGCCTTATGAGATGTTTCCAATGTACATGGGGCCATAAATCTTTCCAATATAATAAGGCTCCAGGATATCTTTGGACCCCAACTCCCAGAAGGGGCTGGTGGAAATCAACGCTGCAACCTGCACATCTCGATCAAACTCAGGTTCCTGCCGAGACATATGTACCAGTATTCCGGGGCACAAACTCCTGCTAATATAGAATCATATTGAGTTGTGTAGCGTCGGACGTGACAAAAATTGAAAGAGCAAGTTGACCACCGGGCAAGGAGAAAACATGCGAAATCGGTTTTAGGCTAGAGCCTAGCATTGAAACTACTGCAATGCAACGTGGGAACCCCCGTGCAATCATATCACAGTGACTGACTTGCACTGGAAAAAAAAGTACGTAAGGATGTATTCGGATGCAAACGGGCCACATAAGCTTAGTGTATGAATGTGGAGAATCTACGACAAATCGCCGGATGAATCCCTCGAGGCTGTTTGTCCTAGGGCTTACGGCTGTATTGTATACTGGTTATAATATGGCCACCTTGGCTTATTTATCATTCAACATTCATTCTTATTTTAATTTTCTTCCGGGTTCTCCTTCATTGCTATCATACCTATTTAGCTCTCATCGGTCAATATCACCATACTCAAAGCAACTGCTACAACCATGGCTGAAGTCTACGGCTCCTGTGACCCCGTCTTCCATTCTGTCCGTGACCTTCTACAACAAAAGCTTCGGGACGGTAGTGAAGTTGGAGCATCGCTTTGTGTCAATATCGACGGCAAAAATGTCCTGGACCTCTGGGGTGGACATGCAGATGAAAGCAAGACCAAGCCATGGACCAAAGACACCATTACCGGAATCTGGTCCTCTACGAAGGTGATCACCTGTCTAGCCGCCCACATGCTGGTGGACCGCGGCCTCCTGGACATGAACGAGAAAGTGGCTACCTACTGGCCTGAATTCGCAGCGAACGGCAAAGATAATGTCAAGGTCTCACATCTCCTGAGCCATTCTTCCGGGATACCTGCGTGGGAGGGCGAGATCACGGCGGAGGAAATGCAAGATGTGGAGAAATCCACCGAGAGACTCGCAGTGCAGGCACCATGGTTTGTACCGGGCTCACAGAGCGCATACCAAATGACAAACCACGGTCATATGATCGGCGAGCTCGTCCGACGCATCACGGGAAAGCCGCTGACTCAGTTCATCGCCGACGAGGTCGCGAAGCCTCTGGGGGCTGACTTCCAGCTGGGACTGCCTGAAGCTGACTGGGCCCGAACCGCTGACATCATTCCCTTCTCTCCGGATGCTATGGCTAATCTTCAGCTTGATCCGGCCAGCATCCTCGCTAGGGCTCTTGTGGGGTCTGTGATGATCCCTGATCTTCCTAATGACCCCGGGTTTAGGAATGCCGAGAACGGGGCCATAGGCGGATTCGCCAATGCGCGGGCCCTGGCTCGCATCGGATCTATGGTCTCGCTTGGTGGCACCGTCGATGGAAAGCAGTATCTTGCCCCTGAGACCCTAGATGAAATGATGGAAGAGCAAGTCCGAGGCTTGGATCCGTTTCTCTTCCTGGATGTGCGCTTTGCGCTTGGGCTCGCGCTACCGTCGAGCAAAAGTATGTCTGCCATTCCGGAAGATGAGGGCATTTGTTTCTGGGGTGGTTGGGGAGGATCCATGGTCGTCATGGATCGCGGCCGGCGGATGACGATCGCGTATGTCATGAATAAGATGGAGTACCGGCCTCTTGGAAGTGCAAATGTCGAGGCATATATTCGGGAGATTTACAAGAGTTTTGATGCTAGCAAGGGGGTGTAGTTACTGAGCGGTTGCACTGTGTGTGTGTGGCTTCTCGATAGACACTCAACCTATCTACCATCTAGATTTATGTTTAATGAAATTTCAGAATTGTCACTCTGGAAGTAGGGTAAACACTCGCCAAGCCAAATTATAGCCCCTTTCCAGCAAGTATGCCTTGCCTTTAGATCTTGCATCTGGATATCTATTTATAGTAAAGACAGGTGCCAATAACTCGAGAGAGAAAAAATTACAAGATACACCCATCCACAGGACGGACCCTGGGTTAGACGAGTTCACAAATGAGACTTGACCGTTTCTGTTGGTTTTTGAGGGGCTATTTGCTTGGCCAACCCCCCATCTCAAGGCTGGAGGCTAATATAAGGACACTCCTTCCGTAGGATTCACCAGGTACCCTATAGCAGATGCGGAAAATATATTCTATCATTCCGAACCATGCACGTCACACGGTCCAAGCTACAATACAATATACCCGGCCTGAGCTAATACAGCAGAGCTCCAACGTTTCCTTTGCATCTATTACTTCTCATTGGAAGCTCAGTAGTATATAACACTAATCATAGTCTTCACTTCCCTCCTAGTGGATGGACGGATCCTTCGTCTTTTATTCATGTCAAGATCTCCTTCAGCCACTGACTAAATCAAGCCCTAATTTGCCTGTAAATTATAGATTGGTTTTGCCTGTTGAAATTCATTAAACGATTACCACCATGAAAGGTATAAATATGGGGCAAACGCCATCTCAAATGTTCTTTTAATCAGAGATTCGAAAATACTTCTTACCTGCGAGTAAGTTAGCAGCGAATGATCCGTTATTGAAATAAACTATCCCCGACTAAACTCCAAGTCAAGAGGCCTCACCATCGCAATCAACATGAAACCCACAGTTGCCCTCCTTGCCATCTCCTTCCTCGCTGCCCCGGCCGTCGCGGATTGGGAGTTATACACCTCAACCTGCTACGGGTTCTCCGGCTCATACAGGATCAGTGGCGCTGCGGTTAACGGCGACCCTTGCTCAGGGGATGGTGCCAATTGGGATAACAGTTACCGTGAGAGGCGGATGGACCTCGTATAACCCGTGCAACCGAGGGGGCAAGAAATTCCGCTACGTCCGTGATGGGTCCGACTATAATGTGTACTGGGAGGACAGCCCGAATAACAAGATTGGGCGGTGCTTTGAGAAGATCGATCCTGATCGTACAAGAGTGTGCCATGATGTCCGGCTTTCGTGCAGTTATTCCCTGATGTATGAGTGCAAGTCACCTGCCTGCACTTCCGAAATGATGGGTTAATTAGTCATAAGGCGATCCTTCCTGTTTTAGTTCTCTAGTATCAGGCTGTGAGGAATGAAAGTGCGTGATGAACGCGGACGGCTAGAAAATGGGCCCTTTAGAGGTTGCTACTTTATGAGTGAGCACAGCCAAGTCACAGAGTGACTGTGAGTGATTTGAATGAATAGGATGAGCAGGATGAGCAAGTCTTACTGAGTCACTAGCTTAACCCAGTTCCTGGCAGATAATGCAAAGGCGATTACATTATATGCATGTATACCAAAACATAAACTTAGCAGGTAGGCTTCTCAATCGGAAGAAGCGAACATTATCAATCCTGTGACTCCTGTCGGCATCCTGTTTATAGTAAATCCTGACAGCCACTCAAAGTAATATATACTAACTATGCCTCGATATCAAACTTAATTAGGGTGTTCCTGCCGACGCCTTGCCCACCACAGCCGCAATCTTCCGCCCCAACATGCCTGGCTGGCTCAGCATTGGAGAATGGCCGGCGCTACAGTGATCAATCTTAGCCCTGGCCAAACTGGCGAATCCTTCTTGGAACTGTGCAGGTGCTGCCTGGTCACCCTCGCAGATCAGGTAAGTGGACGGGAGGTACTCATAAGCCGCGCGAGTCGTGGGTGTAGTCTGTACCAAGGAAGACTGAGGGATCAAGCGCGACTCCCACAAGGCCTGCCTCGGCGTGCGGGAGATCGCTGTAGAGAGCTTTTGCTCCGTTCTTGATGCGGAAGCGACCGTCCGGCTGGATAAATATAGAAAAGAAAGTTTAGCTTAGCCAGGCACAAGAACCTTGGTCTATAGGTCAGAGAAAAGCTAAGGCATGCCCCAACATCGTTATTCGGAGACTCACCAAAAGTTCCCATCACCGACGCGCCCTCCGGTAGAACAAAGGCAGCATAATAGAATAAATGCAAAACACCGCCCTTTTTCCCCTCTAACTGTCGCGAAGCATGGGTGAGATATCTGGGAATAGCTGTACCGCCCACAATGCCCCCGTAGGAATGCATTACAACAACGACCAGCTTTTCTTCCTTTTCCACCAGCTGCTCCAGGGTTTCGGTGATGGTGCGTGCGGGTGGGAAAGTCATTAGCCTCCACATCCGAGCAGCTGGGGAGCGGTGGATGAATGACTGGGTATCCGAGCTCGCGAAGACCAGTCGTCAGCTGGGCATAGACAAGTGGGGTCTGAAATGAGCCTTGGACGAGCACGATCGAGGGTGCTTCGAAAGCCATGGCCCCTGACTAGTAAAAGACTGATGGGGTTGATAGCAATGGTGGTGAAGGTGGAAAGCAAAGTAAGATGAGAAACGTATTTCGAGAGGTGGAAAGATAGTACGGCGTGGGACAAAAAATAGCTCCAACACTAGAACTGATCCCAGCTGGCGGTTTTGGCCGCCCATTGTCCTCAACCCTTGTTCCCCTTCCATCGTACCGCTATATCAATATCCCGGATCACAGTGTGCTTATGTTTTCTATCAGCAAGGTTTCTAAAAATATCGGCAGCATCGGACAGAGCAAAACAGTAACTGGCAGTATTGACTTCTTTATGCAGTGCTATATATACATTTGGAAAACCCGCTTTCTCCAACAATATCTTAAGACTAGAAACCGACGCCTGTGGCAGAGCTATCCATTCCAATATTAACTGTGCAGCCGAGCTTTTGTGGAGAGGGCAATCGCTGCTCCTCCAGCTACTGCATAACCTTATAGCAAAGATATCAGATGGGTGGTACTTTGTAGGTGGTTGAAAACGACACACATTTCCACTGCGGATCCGGTCTTCGGGGTTAGGGTTTCTTTGAATTCTTCCCCGGCACGGGGTACGCCGCCGCAGGCGCCGTCAAGGATAATTGCATGTACATTTTGGTGTTCTGTAGGTACTGGCTAATTCGATAAGGAGTGTTTGGTTGATTGCGTTGCAGCGTTTTGGTCGGATGGATGTCCCATAATTTTGATGATATTGGGAGCTGTCTCAGTTGGGTGGGAATAATGACCATTTTGAAGGATATGACTGACCTATGCATGTTTCAACAGATGGAAATAAGATCAGGATGGTGCGCTGTCAGCCTCTGTTTGATATGTTAGTTTGGTAATTTCACCCCAGAACTTGCGGGGTACCTAGAAAACTATAGGTATTGAAGCTTAATATGATAGAAGAAGCCGATCCTTAATTGCTATCTTTCTAAGTGCTACTACTCCATGAACTATTTTAGTAGTTCGTCTTCGATGTGAGGTGCTTGATTTTCTACATGTCATCTCAGCTTTGTCCTCTAACCAGATGATGTTTGAGTAATCTTGTAATATAAGTCGTGCTCAGGTTTCCAATGTAAATGCAATTTATATACATATATAGACTATGCTATCTGTGTTAAGTTCTGAAATAGACGCTGCATGGTAGACAAGTCATAGACTCGGTTATCTCTGTTTTTCCCCAGTAGTTGCAGCAGTGTTGATGTTCTTATATGAGAAGAATTTCCCATGACTGCTTCAACAACACCTTCTGTGAGAGGCAGCCTTTCCCCCCTATTCTTCAAGATATGGCGTAGTATCGAACTTGCTGCACCTAGGCCAGGGTTTGTAGCTGCTGCTATGAGTACCGCTTCTGTGATTGGTAGACTCTCCCCCCTCTGTTCAAACAGAAACTTGATAATCGAAGCTCCTTCGGTACTATTTCCCGCTGCAGCTATAACAATATTTTCGGTGATAGCCAAATCCTCCCCTCTCGCGCTAAAGAGAGTCTCCAGTATTGTGAGCCCCTTCCCAGTGTTACCCGCGGCCAACTTAATAACCTCCTCCGTAACAGGAAGACTGTCCCCTCTCAGCTCGAGAAGAAGCTCCATCACAGAGTGCCCATGAGGATTCCCTGCCGCAGCCCTAACAACTTGTTCTGTAATGGGAAGTGCGCTCCCTTTGTGCTCGAATAGGATCTTCAGCAAATCAGCTCCTAAGTCGTGGTGACCTGCTGTTCTCCTAACTATGTCTTCGGTGACAGGTAGGATGTCACCCGCTTGATCCAGAAGAGCTTTCATCACCGAAGCCCCATCTGGTGCTCTCCCAATGCCGCGAAAGTCTGAGGTCAGCACAATATACTTCGACGGAACTGCTATTGTCAGGATGTCATGCAGCACTGAAGTGGAGCTGTGTAGATTATTCTCAATCTGAAATCTCGTAGTCGAAGTCGAAGATTCTGAGCTGTGTGGCTCCCGAGGAACTGTTGCTTGATTCTTTGCTTTTGGACCGTCCAATGTGGAAGCCCAATCCCAGTGGAGAACAAGGTCATGAAGAACGCTCCCTTCTGAAGGAGGCCCATCTGCAATCATTTCCCTGTCGCCATGCATAGTTCGATGCCGTGGAACGACGCTAGCCATAATAATCCTCAGTCCTTTATTCGATATCCTCACAATACTGGGAGCTGAAGCTCTCTGGAGCAGGCAGACAATGTCACCCGCGCGAATTGCTCCGCCGGAGTTTGGAGAAGCCATTGTACACCTGAAGTCATCAAATAATACAGCGCCTCTACTGTATCGCGGAATAGCACTTTGACCTCTTGTCTATCATATCGTGATCCCGGTGTTGTAACCGACTTGATTACTCCTAGCAAATAGCCCTTGCCTCTAATAATTGCTGCCTCCCGGTCAGGCCACGTCTTGACGGAAACCTCTGGCGAGATAATATACTTGATCACGCGCTCAAAGACCTTATTCCATGGGAGCTGGTAATCTGGTATCAGAGCCTCTGTGTCCGGGTCATCGGAACACATGCCGAGCAATGCGTATACCTTATCATGCAAGCAGGAGGCATGGCGCGTATGGTACATGTCAATCAGCTCACCTATGGACAGTGTGCCACGAGTGTTGAATCGATAGCTAGGCCGGAAAACTGCATCTTTAATCAGGTGATACGCTGACTGCACCAAGCCTTGGAGCCTAGGGTGAGCTGTGCGAAGAACTTCTAAGCTCTGCAAGCCCGAGATAAATGCGTATCCATTCATCTCCACAGAGCCACACATGACTACAATATCCCGGGCTAGGGCCACCTCCTGGAGTACCTAGAACAGACTCAATCAGGAAAGACTCATCAAACCTCGGGTACAGGGCATCCTACCCAGATTCGTTGAAACCAAGGGCGTTGCACCAGCGCCAGAGAGGAAGAAAAATGCTTTTCTCTGTCTGGCCTGTCACGGGAGTAGCTTTTCGGCAAAGGGTCTGATGAATCATTTTCTGCAGCTTTACGAATGGCTTCGAGTGCGTCGCTGCTTTGATCCGCCTCCTCTCCAAGCCAAACTATGACTCGCCCAGCTTCACCGTAGATTGTTCGCATCAACTGGATTTGGTGAGATTTCTCCTGGTCGTCTTTTTGATTGATACAGATGGCATCAATCCATAACAGCCGTGCCACATTGTGGTTTCTTAGACGCAAGAGCACTGTATGGAGGTTCCGGGTGACGTGAAAAACCCTACTGTCTATAAATATATCATATTGCGAATCATCCCTACTACCCCAGACATAAGATAGGGCTTCATATGGGTGCTGTCCCGCGGTATCTGTCAGAGTGTATTCTATGAGCTCGCATGCTACGCGAGCAGTCTTATCTTCATGCGGCAATAGACGGACGAGGCGAATCTTGTTGGAGCCCTTGGCTAGGGGACGATAGCTGTATTGGGGCATACCCAAATGACCAATGTGTGAGTGACCAAACACCTTCTGCCACATAACGTGTAGATAGGATCTTGAAGGTTTTCATTTGGGCTCAGTTGGGCGACAGGATCCTACAGCCGCCGGACGTATTCCACTAATGCACGCTGGGGTAGCCTCACTGCTAGTAGTGGGCCAATAAGATCGCAGCACTTGTTGATGATATGTTATTGCACCAAACCTCATAATGCTCCATATTCATCTGGCGATCAAACAACATAATGCTGCATGTTGTCACTAGCGAAAAACGAAAGCTCCTCGACTGAAGCGGGGCATTCGTTCTTCCCGGCGTCCCACATCGCAAATGATTCTATCGCCCCCTTCGGCCACGTATCTCTCTCGATGCCCATCGTGAACTGTTTGAAAACTGGCTAGACTCGCTTGGCGACGAGCGCGGACACCAACAGCGTCTATTTCAGCGACGGCAGATTTCCGTTGTTGATGATTCAGTCAGTCCTAGGTTCAGGATCTACTGTATGGCAACACCCGGACCTCAAACTGGCCCCGGAGGAGAACTCAGTATGTGTCTTTGCGTGTGCTAAACTTGTCGATGTACGCTTTGAGCAGGGGCACCTGGCGCTGGTGATTGTGCATGTACTTTATCTTAGAGTTGAAGAGTCTTGTACGTGTAAGTAGTACGCATTGTAAGGAGCCAATACTTTCTTTTTTTGGAGAGGAAATATAAATCAATACAAGAAGAGTGGTAGATCACACCCATGGAGCCCTAAATTCAGCTTTTGACGTCATATACCATGAAGTAAGTCCCATATTCACCAGCACCACCATATTGCGAATCATCCTGGATTACTCGATCAACCTCCTCGAATCCTAGACGCGCATACACCCCACGGCCTGCTTTATAAGACATTGTAAAAATGGGCACTTCGATTGATCTAGCTGCTCGGATGCCGCTGGCAACAAGTGCTGTGGCAATTCCCTTGCCTTTATTTCTGGGGTGAACAGCCAGGTAATCGAGTTCTAGAAGGCAATCAACTATTAGTCCTTGCAACATAGCGTTGCTGGGTCTTACTTGAAAGTAACAAATAAATCGCACTTACTGATATACGGCCTTTGCGCGAGTATACGGCCCATTACCACGTCATTTATATCATCAATAGAACGCATATCGCTTCTACCATTCCACCACGCAGACTCTGCTAACTGCTGGAACTTTCTTTTCTCTTCATCACTAACATCCGGGACTTGAGCATCCACCCACTGTGAGCTCCCATCTTTTGTAGTACGGTGGGTAGGAGGCAGTATCCATCGGGCATATCCGACAAGATCGCCGGTAAGAGGATCAACAGCCTTCTGATGACGGACCTCCTGGCGTGTGCGCAGTAGGATATTGGGGTAGCGCTTTGTACATTGCTCGATTAGAAATTCCAGTGTGACTTCCTTGGGCCATAAGAGAATCCATGTCGGGTCTCCCCAGAAGGCTGACATGTTATTATATGCTAGAGCAGGGGCGTCAGCAACGCTGCAAGGCTTGATCTCCCAGTGACTCATGGCTATACCCATAAAAGTGAAGCTAGTTGGAAATCTAATGGACAAAGCTGTCCGAGAGACATTGGTATTCCAGACTGAAGACTTGATGTAGCGTTTTCTCGTATCTATCAGATTTTAGGTAGATAAATGACTCGGCATGCCACGGACATAATTCACTGGGATATATACCCCTCTTCCTATACCTTTCGTTCGATCAGGAAACAAATGGAGGGAAGGGAAACGTCATTTCAGGGATTCTTGTCGTCAGCAGAATGGCTGGCTTTCTCACTCATTCCCCAGGTGATTTTATAAATAGAGAATTCATGTGAATGCTTTGGATATTCATGGGCATTGTACTAGTAATAGGTCGCTAGTAGACACGAAAATTCAAGGTCTTAAAGAAGTTCCAGTACATCTAGAGATATTTAGATATGCGATACTTATCTGCAATAACTTACTTTACACTACACTAACCTCGAATGGTTTACCTGCCAATAAAACCGAACGTATTAAATGAATGGACACGGCATGACAATCCCTATTAAAATATGTATGCGACGTGGTTCATGCTTTGGGCTCAAGGATACGAGTATATATGGACACATTGTATTAAAGTTGACCTAAAATCGGGTATTCACCTTGATGATGCATCTGGAATAGTATAATACTCAAATAATCGTTATTCAAGGCGAAGAGGCAAGCCGATCATTGAAACAGCTATGCGCTATCAGTGAAGCACCCTTAGGCATTAAGGTTAAAAGACAATTGCCACGGCCCCACCCACCTGACGACGCACCTCCGTTTCGGCCAACTTGAGATCGGCCTGGCGAACGGAGTAAACAACAATACCAACTAGACATTCTCTGAAGCTTACCAAACATGGCTGACGCTCAATTTGACAGTGCGCTGTAAGTACGCTATCCGTACGAACGCATAAATCTGCAATATGCATGCTACACCCCTCTCGAATTACGAAAACCAAGCCAACCCCGTACCCCACCTCTGGCCGAGAGCTGACTGTTATTGCAACCAGCGACCTCCTGCGGCGCTTGAACCCCCGGGATACCAAGCAGAACCTTCAGGCGATCACTTCTATTGTCCCCGACCTCACCGAAGACCTCCTTTCCTCCGTTGACCAGCCCCTCGAGATCCGCCGGTGCTCCAAGACCAACCGTGACTACTTGCTCTGCGACTACAACCGGGATGGTGATAGCTACCGTTCTCCTTGGAGCAACGAGTTCGATCCTCCACTGGATGATGGAACCGTCCCTAGTGAGAGGGTGAGAAAGCTTGAAGTGGCGGCTAATGAGGCTTTCGACGTCTACCGGGAACTGTACTATGAGGGTGGTGTAGGCAGCGTCTACTTCTGGGATTTGGACGATGGTTTCGCCGGAGTCATACTTTTGAAGAAGGGTTGGTGATTGACCTTAATACCTGGGGAGAGAGTGAAATCGTGGTGGATCTTATGCTGATGCATC